AAACATATCTAAAATTTCCCTAATTTGATTCTTAGGAGCCGTAAGGATGATATCATCCACATACCTATAATATATTGGTATATTAAATTTATATACATTTCGAAAGTAATTTAATCTCCAAATCCTGTATAACGATATCTGCTAAAATGGGAGATAATGGAGAACCCATAGGCATGCCAAAGATTTGCTTAAAAAAAATTTCGTCAAATTGAAAATACGTGGAATTAAAAATAAGTGAGATAGCTTTTAAAAATTCATTCTTTGGGATCCTTGTATTTTTCGAAATAGAATCCCATCTGGAATCAATACTACTTATTACCAACTCCTCAGGAATATTCGTGTACATTGACACTATATCAAAGGAAACTATTTTGTGTTCGTCATCCAAAGGTAAACCATTAATTTTATTAGCAAGTTCAAAACTATTTTTTATAAAACTAAATCCTTTTTTTAAACTTTTTTCAATGATATCTTTAATAAATGCAGCTAATGGAAATAAAGGGCTGTTAATACAGCTAACAATAATTCTTAACGGGTACCCATTTTTATGTATCTTTGGCAATCCATAAGTTCTCGGTATCGTCCCATCTGTAATATTTAGTCTTTTATATGTACATTGATCAATAAATTCCATGCTCTTCCACCTCATTACTAATTTATGCACTTGATTCGTCATCATTTTTGTTGGATCTTTTTTAACCATAATATAAGTTTTATTATCAGATAACAATTTATGCATTCTCTCTTTATAATCACTCTTATTTATGACAACCGTAGAATTTCCCTTGTCTGCTCTAGTTATAAAAATTTCAGGATTTTGTGTAATAAATTTTTTTGTTTCAATCATTCCTTCTTTCAAAATACAATCTATTTCGTTAGTTTTGTAATTATGTAAAGTATTCTTTTTTAAAATTTGGATGGTATCATTCCTAATAGATTTTTTAGTGTTATCATCACTTTTGATTATGTTGAACTCTATTTGTTTAATTAATTCTAATTGCATTTTTTCTTTGTTAATAAGATTATTGGTTAAATTAAATTTTTGGCCTAGTTGTAAGATTATTTTAAC